AGCTGAATTATCAGGGAGAAGCAAGGCAAAGCACCACGGTCTCCCACTTGAAGAGGCTACTACTAGAAACTAAGGCTGGGATATTGAAATTACCTGTCATCACCCCCATCCAAGGCAAAAAGGCAAAACACAGGAAGGCTTGAATAATCTAAAGTTTAAGCACCTGTCAATAAGGGTAAGGCACTGTGCTGTAAAAGTAGAGAGAATAACTCCCAGCCTATGATCCCATATCAATTATAAACCCTACTCAGTGCTGCATTTAGCACTTAAAAATAATCTAAAATGGAGGTGCACATGAGAATATGAGACACATAGGCCGAGGAACTGAGCTAAAGGGATGGGCTAGAGTAGATTCCCACACAAAATTCTGGAACCCACAGCACAGTAGGAAGTTTGAATTGCTGAGTTTACTGCAGGTGATCCTTCAGTCCCCTACTGCCTTTGTTATACCTACTCTTCTTCATTGGTATCAATTCACAGATGACATCAACAGCTCTAAAGACAACAGACTTGAAATCTAATATCTCTGATTATAACAGCATAAAGTTAGAAATCAACTATAAGAAAATAAACAGGAAAATCTATGTTTACACTGTGACTAAGCAATGTGATTCTTAATAACTATTGGATAAAAGAGAAAGCCAAAAGTAGATATTTAAAAATATCTTAGACTAGTGAAAATAATGATACCAAATGCCAGCCTCTGTGGAATGCCACAAAAACTTTTCTAAAGGGGAAGATAATTTTAATAAAAGTCCACCCTAAGACGCAAGAGAAATTACCCCCCCCCCAAAGTTCTAATACTAAAACTAAGCAACTTGAAGAAGAGGAGAAATAAAACCCAAAGTTAGTAGATGGAATAAAATAATAAAAAGAAAAGTGAAAATAAATGAGATAGTTATCAGTAAGATAGACCCACCTCTCCCTACCCGCCCCCCCAAAAAATCAGTGAAACTATCAGCAGGTTGTTCAAGAAGATAAACAAGAGATTACTATGATCAACCATATACTAAATTTAATAACCTTTAAGATATGGACAAAGTTTTAAATGTGGTCTACCAAGACTAACCCAGGAGGAAACAAATGAATTGAACAAATTGATCACACAAACGGAACTTGAAATAATAATAAAATTTCTTCTGAAAAACAAAAGGCCAGAACCTAATGGCTCTACAGTGCATTTTAACAAACCTCTAAAGAAGAAATAAAGGACCACCTTGCTCAGGTTATTTTTAAAAAATACAGGAAGGACCACTCCCTATACATTGTACAATGCCAACATTACCCTAAAACCAGCTATGACAAAGAAAATAATAGACCAATATCCATGATAAAAAGCAATGCAGAAATTGTAAACAAAATACTAGCAAACTAGCAAATTGAATTTGTCTTGTTAGCTGTTTAGTCAACCCCAAACCTTCATGATCACTGGCTGGGCCCACACACAATTCAACAGTGGTAAGGCAATGACCTATGAAGCAAGAAGGCAGAACTGTGCTTCTGGGGAAACTGCCCCCAGGATGTGTTAAAGGAAAATGTACAGACTGCCCTTTTGCAGGAGGTGCTGGTGGTCAAAGATGACAAGGAGAAGAGAGCAGATTTGTTGAGTTATCAAAGATACCTGGTCTGCAAGAAGCTTCTCCCTGCTGTAGACATATTAGGAAGCACATGCTGATAGATCCAGGTTTTCTAATTCTATTAGAATATTTATGTTTGGTGGTAGCAACAAAAAACCTGGTTAAAGAAATTTTGATAAAGAGCACCAAAAATATACCTCTCCAGAAGTCTGGATGTTCATCTGCTCAGCAATGTTTCTTTTTACTTGGCTGTGATCAGGTTTGTGACCATGCTCTTTGCCTCAGGTTTTCAGATTCTAACTCTAAGTTCCACATAGGTGGGACCAAGGGACAGGAAAGGGTGGGGCTTCTGCTTCTTTACTGGGAATAACGGGCTCCCTTCCTTGTCACCCTCCACAAGATCACACATCATCAGATGTGGTCTGCAGGCCAATTTTAGGACAAATGTGGGCGTGGACAGAGGTCTGAGACACAGCAACTCTAGGACAAAGCATCCAGAGGACTTGGTAGGTCCTGTGCTGTGCTCCTTATGGCCCGTCAGTGGGCACTTGTTGGCTGGGTGCCGAGAGCCAGCGCTCTGCCATGGGTGCCCTTTAGGGATGGTCTCAGCTGTAAAGGATGACTTTGCTTGAGGTCATTCACCTTCTCCCAGGTACCCAAATTCAGTTACTAGTCCAAGTGCCTCAAGATAGTTTTAGCACACCTGTGAGGTTTTTTTTTTTTTTTTTTAAAGATTTATTTATTTATTCGTACAGAAAGGCCAGAGATGTGGAGGGTGAGAGGATTCACCAGAGACAGAGCGGGGAGCAGAACAGGCAGATCGAGGATGTACACTGCTTAGGGGAGCAGCAGGCGGGTCAGGAGAGGTCTGCCTCGCTATGTGGTCGCCTCCGGGGCAGGCGGGGACAGAACTCATGGGGAAGTGGCTTTAGTTTCTTAGTGCAGTGCTTTAACCTGCTGCGCCACCAGGGAGGGCCCACACCTGTGAGGTTTTTTATAGCCTCCACTTGCTTCTCCCATCATCCCCATATCTGAACACTCTACCCAGAGACTTTCTGGGTGCATAGTATTAATCTACACCGAAACCGTGGTATCTCTGGTCCTGCATTTGCAGAAGCTAGTGTATATGTATATGTTAGTGGAGAGGTTACCATGGCTTTATAGATTTGTTAAGGGTTTGGAGTACTGGAAATGTGAGCCATTTAGGTGTGGGCAAGTGCTGTGTTTGAAGACGGAAAGGTTAGAGCAAGCAATGCATCCTGAGAGTCTCTCAAAGTCACAAAATATTAAGATACAACATCCATGTGTGCCCACCCCTCCACTCCACACTTTTCTTCCAGCATTTTACATCTAGGTAATTATACCTCTACCATGTTTCTGCCCCTTGCAATATTAATTTCAATACAAGGAAATACATACTGGAAGAAAATTTTTTAAGTCATTTCCCATATAAGTCTTCATCTAAAGATGCAAACTTATCAGACTTGCCATGGCAAAGGCCATCTTCATGGCAAGGACAAACTAGAAAGTTCTTTCAGGTTGAAGAGGTACTGTTACAGGGCAGGGAGAGAGGGTCACCACTGAATCCCCAAACCTGCTTGCTCCAAGTAGGTTCTGCCATCCGCTGCATCAAGACAAAACATGTAAGACTTTAATGAAAAGGAGCTTTAATACAGTGAATATACAATATGAAAGACAAAGAATGTAATTTCTAAATCAAACACCTGAAGTTACCCATCCCCTCATGGGCAAAAGTCTACCACCCTCATGGGTCTAAAGCCCGCCACAAGACTAAAGCAACCTTCTGGCTGGGACTCACAGAAAAGGGTCAGAAATGGCTAGACAAGTCTGGGAGGAAAAGAGCAAAGTCAAAAATCAATATAAACACTGCCATCGTCAGCCTCCCCATGGGTCTCTCATCCACATCTCTCTCAACCAGCCCAGTGTCAAGAAATAAACATGGTTTCTTCACATGTCTCCTTTTGCTCCGTGGCTTCCTCAGGTCTCCTTCTGGCTCTCCATCTTGCTTCCTTCCTCCTTGGAATCCTCTTCTTTTCTCTGCTCAGCACCACCCTCCTTCTGGGTGGGGCAGGGAACCTGGAACTTCCCCTTTTCCTGGGCCCACCTAGTTACAATATCTGCTTTTTGACTAGAGTAGCTCTTAACTCTGCTTCAAATGCAGGGGAGGGAATGATTACTCTTGGCACATCACTGCTTTTTCTTTGGGTAAGTTGCTTTGAAATACATGTTCTCAATTTTGAGATATTTTTAGACAGGTGAGTATAGAAAACATATGCATTCCTCTTTTCAGATAAATGTGGAATACCTTGCTTGTGTTTAAATATTTGTAATCTTGAAGTTACGGTGTGTGAAGTGAGAAGGCTCTAGCCCTGGAGGAGGACCTGCTCCAGTCTGAGTCAGGAGTGTTGTCTGCACTTTGAGGAATCAGGGCAGATGGAACTGTCTGGCCTTTGGGGTTTGAGGAATAATTTGAGGGTAGAGGTTTTAGGAGAGGGCTGCCTGACAAGGATGAAGAACCCCAGTTTCCTAGCCATGAGATCTGTACCCATTCCTCTTGACTCCTCATGAAGTTTAAGTTTACTCATTCACCACATGTGTCCCCCTTCACATGGTGATGGATTCTGCAAGGCAGGGCTGATAGACAATGTTGGTTCCTGATCTGAAGGCCCCCGTCAATCTATTGAAAATGACTATAATTTGAGCTGGAAGGATGATGGGTGGTTGGGAAAGCCAGGAAGAAAGAAGTTAACAGTAGCTTTAGCTCCATGGGTCCTGGGTCCTTGTCATGTTCCCTAGCGACCAGTAGGAAGATCTTGGAAAATTACCAAGGATTTTCAGCCCACTTTATTATCAGGAAACATGGGAGAGTAGTAGTATCTCTTGGCTTCCATTTTGAAGTCATTTGATTGTGATCTCCACTCCCCTTGAGGCAGCCTGGCCAGTCTTTACTCCTAAGAGCTTCCCTCTGTTGGGGGAACGTGTTTCCTGTCTGCTGTGGATCCAGCTCATTTCTCCCGGAGCATTTTAAGAAGTGTGATTTCGAAGTTTCCCTTGATTCCTTCCCTCCATGAGCAAGACCTTTCAGGGGTTTGTAAAGCACCCTGGGCTTTCCCAGTTCTACTGTATTGCTTTATGTTTGCAGGAGTCCCCAGTAGACTGCAAGCAGGAGCACAGTATGAATGAATGGATGACTGACTGACTGACTGACTGACTGAATGAATGAATGAATGAATGAACCGGGAACCAGGACTTTGTCGCCTGCCCTGGAGCCTAAAAGCTCTATGAACTCTGGGAGCCTCAGTATGCCTCTGATGGTTAACAGCCCTCACCAGGTCAGCACTGGAGGTCCTGGGGCTCCCCCAGTCACGGCCAGCCGGGCCTCAAGAGCCTTTTTTTAGGGCGATGAGGCCAGGTGACCCGGCGGCCAGGGCGCGGGCGGTGGCGATTGCCCCCGTCGCCTCGAGGGGGCCCTGCGGCGGGCGCCAGCAACCAGCTTGGAGGCCGGGCCCGCCCGCGCTCTACTCGCGCTGCTAGCGCCCAGCCTGCAGCGGCCATCGCCCCGCGGGACTGCGCTGCGCTCGCCCAGGTACTGAGTGGGGGTTGGGGAACGTGCCGCCGCCCCTTTGTTTCGGGCCCAGCGCCGCGCGTCTGCGTCCCGGGCGCTGGGTTAGGTCTCTGGGCGCTGGGGGCCGGCCAGGGAGGGACGGAGATTGAGGCACTCCGGGAGCAGAGACCCTGGCGCGAGGGGAACGAAAGCGAGACCGCGAGCCCCGGACCGTGGCGCCGTGCCGAGGCGCGGGAACTCTAGCCGGCTGGGTTCGGGGTCCGGGGCTGGGGAGCGAGGGGCGCAGTCAGGCTCTGCCGGTTACTGGAACCCGGCGCATGTTTCGGGTAGTGTAATCCGGCGCCGACCTTGGCTCTGGGCGCCCGGGCCGGCGGGTGCCAGCCGGAGTGAGCGGCACGGTGGAGCCCGGGTGGACTTCGCTCTAAGGACGGGTCCTGGGACCCCGGAGTGGAGAACCGAGCTGGGGGGGCAGCGGTGGGAAAGCTCGGGATCCTTCTGCTCTTTCTCGTGTCTTTTGCTTTCCTTTCGGTGGGCGCCAGTCGCACTTTGCCTCCCTTCTTAAGGGTTGGGAACAGCCTGGGGGTCCTCCAGAGGCCCGGGCCACCTGTGGCACTTGCCTGCGGGCACGCGGTCGCTGATGTGCGGCAGTGGGGGAGCGGGGCGCGTCAGCCGCCCGCCGGGGTCTCTGTGCTGGTGCCACGCAGACTGACAAGTGAGTGGGGTCGTTAACTTGAGTGATTAGAAAATCTGTGTGTGGTGGGAAGAGGCTCCGGAGCTGCCGGAGCTGCACTCCTGTTCTCTACTGTCGGTGTGCTTACCCACACTTTCCTGTGAGATTAGCAACAAAACTCCCTTAGGGTGTACTGTTGGGGGTGGCCACACACTTATCTTTTGGTGTAGTTTCTCCCTATTTCCTCACTCCTTATAATATGAATGCAAGGTCTTCAAGAATGCTTACCATATAAAAACGGAAAAATCGGAATGTGAAAGTTAATTGCATTAATATTGCACAGTCCTTTGGAGCCCACCCTTTTGACATTTTGGTGTGTTTCCTGGAGGCTTTTGGCTTGTGCATATTAATCTTTTGAAGTGCTGCAGTTCTTTGTGATTCTTCCCTCTCTGGGGCCTGGGAGGTTATATTTGCAAATCAATCAACAAGTATTAAAAGCGTTCCTGTGGGGAGGCTGCTTCTGGGCTGGGGTTCCTGCAGCTGGAGGGTGGAGGGGTCTGTGCCTGGAGAGAGGGGACCTCTGTGAACTGGGAGCTGTCTGCTGGAACTGGCGGGAGGCCACCAGAATCCTCACCTCAAAGTCAAAATAGTAGTAAAATTACAAAGTAGTACTGACTTCAGCGATGAAGTGATAGCATGGTAAATGCAAGTGCTTATCAATGTTTGCTTTGGTTAGGCTTTGTCTGCATTCCCCAGTGCTTGTGCCTCTGGTTGCAAATAACTCCAGGAAGGAGGTGGGATAATTGCCCCATTTTACAGATGTGCAAAATGGGGCACGCAGAGGCCCAGCACCTTGCTCAATCTGAGGAAAGATGGTGGAGCGGCCTGTGCTTCCCTCAGGATGGTAAGGCAGCTGGCTCGCTCCCTCCTGCCCCTGACTGGAGGGGATACCTGTCCAGAGAGCAAGGTCTTCAGCTGAGGTGCCAATGCCTCCTGCAGAGAAATTATTTCCTTACTAATCAAGGAGAAAATAGCTAAAGTAGCAGCTTCAGGGAATTTTGTGCTGGGGATGCAAATTGATGGGCTGTAACAAAGTGTAACTTTGGCACCTAATGGTTTTAAATGGAGCTACTTGCAAATGTGATTCTGGGAACTAAAGGTCACAGGGTCAAAGTTAGTCCCTGAGCCAACACCTAAAGTGTTGCTGTTGGGATAAAAATGGCATGGGAAGGAGTCAATAAAACAAAAGTGAGGGGAAAAGGCTAGAGGGGAGGGTCCTCAGTACACCTCTGGAAGTCACGGCTTGCCGGTTTTACAGATGAACACATTTGTCCAAAGCACTTGGACAAATCACTCTCAATCCTTTGATTCCACCTACTCTTTTTCTAAAATTGGTCTGGCGGACAGGCTGTGTTAGGGAAAGCCTTTTATTCCCCCCTGCAACCCACCAACTCTTGTGGGAGAGGTACTGGGTGTTCTTGTGAGAGAACAAGCACTCTTACTGTAACAAGTTTTATTTCTATCCCAGCAGCCCAGGCACTCTCCGCTCCCTGAGTAATAGACTTCCTAACCATGGCCATGAGCCATGGACTTCCTCGGGAAGTTTGGTGGCTGGGATGGCCTGGAGTGAGGTCCCAGTGGTGTACCGGTCCTGAATCCAGACCCTTTCCTGTAGGACCCTACTCACATTATTGGTGGCCTAAAGGCAGCCCCATCTACTCATAGTCCTTTGCATTCACATCCTGATCTTGAATAAGGGGTGCTGGTTAGTTGGTTAATTAAGTAGGTGTTTTATTCAGAGCTATTGCTTGTTACTTGTGTTACAGGGTAAGGAGAGAGGCACCCTGAAACCCCCGAACCTGCCTCCTCTAAATAGGTTCTACCATCTGCCGCATCAAGACAAAACATGTAAGAACTTTAATGGAAAGGAACTTTAATACAATTCAATCAAACACCCAAGGTTACCCCATCCCCTCGTGGGTAAAAGTCCACCCAAAAGGGATTGGCCCAAAGCAAGGCTGGAAAGCCCGCTACAAGTCAGGACGGACCCAGAGAAAAGGGTCAGAAATGACACAGCAAATCTGGAAGATAAAAAGCAAAATCAAAGTCAAGATAAAGGCTGTCATTTTAAACCTCCCCACGGGTCTCTCACTCACTTCTTTTTCAACCAGTCCAGGACCAAGAAGCAAGTGCAGTTTTTTCACATGTCTCTGCTCCCTGTGCCTCCCTCAAGTCCCCTCTGGCTCTACCTTGTTTCCTTCCTCTTCAGTCTCTCTGCAGATTCTTTTCCTCTGGGCTCACTTTCACCCTCCTTCCCTCCTTTGGGTGGGGCAGGGAACCTGGAACCTCCCCTTTTCCTGGGGACCACCCTGTTACACTTGCCATTAGCAAGTGTTAAAAAACCACTGCTGTCTTGAGCAGAGCAAAGTTTTGCCAGCTATTTTTGATGCTGAAATATAGTTACTTATTTTAGCACTTAGAGCTAAGGGTGGAGGTGGGGTGCTGAGGTGTGGGAATGGGGAGGCAGGTATATTGAGTGGACTGATCTCAAAGGTGTCTGCATGGAACTGTGACTTAAACTCTACTTGTTTCCACACTGGCTGGGTGCTTTTAAAACACTACAACATTAAACATTTCTTTTATCAAAGTGTTACTGAATATGAGGTACCTTCTCTTAGGTTCAGAAAATGTTTTAAATCTCTTCTGATCAAACCCTTACAACATGCTGGTGTTTATCAATAGGTATGGGTGATTCAGAGTAGGAAAGTATTTCTTGGGTGCCTGTCCAATTACTCTAAAAGCAGTAAGGACCTCCAGATTTTTAAAAATTTCTATTTGAACACTGTGTATCTGCAGTATTTCACGAATTGCCATTTTGGGTGTGGGTCATTCTGGTGTTTGTCTTCCTGCAGAGAAGTCTTTCTTGTGTGTGCTTGTGGGATTTGCCTAGTGTGCCATACCTGGTACCTCCCTGAGGGATCCCTCTCCTGAGCAGGAGCAGAGAGGCTTGTGAAGCAGAAGTGTTCACTGCCTGGACCACAGGTAGGAGCCCTCCACTGTGTCACTCACTGAGGGGATGATGCTCATCATGACCCCTGGACATTTAGAAGGTTGTGTTACTATTTTTTGAAAGAAGGAAATGATCTGGTATTTATATATTTTGTCTCAAATATGCAAACTTCATGAAAAATTCCTATTTTAAGCATCCTCGTCAGTTATCAGGAAAATTCTTTCTGGAGGAGTGTTCCCTGAGCAGGCGAGGTTAGGGTGGCGCTCTTCAGAGCCCACAGTGATGGGACAGGTTCCTTCCTCCATCAGTGTCCCTGTGCCTGCTCTTGAATTCCTGCTTGGGTTGGGAAATCCTGGGAGCTCCCCTGTATCGTCCTGTCTGCTGCCAACCTGGTAACCTTGCATGAATAATACCTTAATCCGACTGTGTAGTTGTACCTGTGACTTTATTTTGAGCCAGTCTTGCAAGACATGTATTTTGTCTCTTTTCTGGAACTGAGTACAGAGAGTCAGTGAGCTTAAATAACTGCTTTTACCATGGTGATGGTTGGAACCTGGCTTTATCTGGAGATGGCCCCCAGAGATGAATGTCCCTAGGGGCCCGAGTTTGTGAGTGGGTGGGGTGCTGTGGGTTCCATGTGGAAACCAGATTTTACTGCAGTCATAGGACTTCTTCCTCAGACCAGGCATCTTCACAGTTCCCTCACTCCTGCACGGGCGGGCTGGCTGGCTGGGGAAGGCTTAGGGAGTTTGGGGAAGGCTTAGGGAGTTTGCGGAATGCCCCACCGCCACAGCTGGCCAGACCTCCAGCTGCAGCTGCTTCCTTGGACACGGACTGCGGGGCCTTTCTTCATCTTCCTTCCTCCCTCAGCTCTAATTATGGCCCGTGGAAAGCTGCCCTTCCTCTTCCTCTTCTTTTGGGAGAGATAATAGCACTCAGTATACCCTTTGCAGGCCTGCCTTTGTTTTTAAGATTTGGAAGACATCTGTAGGAATCCTCTGCTGCTTCCTGAGTGGCAAACAGTTGGCGTCACTCCCGGCCAGGCTGCCCCTGTGCACTGGGGGACCCTCTGGATAGGCTGAAGGATCTCACCCACTGGCACCGCATTTTGGTGGCAGTCATAGGGTGTGACTTGGTGAGTCCCGATGTGAACAATGAAAACCAGGGGAAGGTTTAGAATACATAAGAATGAAGTCTTTGCAAAAGTCTGAGAACGCAAGTGCTGCTGGGAAGTGGCACGGGCGCTCGGGTCAGCCTGCAGTGGCTTTTCTTTTAACACCAGCATGTTCAGGAATCTGCTTGCTCTCCCATTACTCTGGGACACAGCTGCAGTGTGTTGCC